AGCAAAATGTTGCATGTTCTCCCTGTGCTAGCATGGGACTTCTCTGGGTACTCCGGTTTCCTCCCATACTCCAAAGGAAGGTTAATTGGTTCCTGTCTAAATTGGCCCTATGTGTATATGAGATAGGGAGCTTAAGGTGCCCATACACTGCACGATTCTCGTACGAGAATCGTGCAGTGTATGGAAGGCGTGCGACCGTTCCTACTGTATGGTCGCACGACTTTTGTATTTCGAGCATGTTGGAAAACCAGCCGAGAATCGTACGATTTTCGGCTGGTTTTTAACATGATCGAGAGACAACTGCCGAACGGGCCGGTGTGTGCACGTGCACACTGCCCGTTCAGCACTGCCCGTTCACGTGCACACTGCCCGTTCAGCATCGCAAGTACGATCTGCCTGTACAAGATGGGCAGATAGTACATTTTTTTTAGTACTTTACAATTCTCGCAAGACAAAAGTCTTGCAAGGGTTGTAGAGTGTATGGGCACCTTTAGACTGTAAGCTCCCTTAGGGCAGGGACTGATGTGAATGTGCAACTATGCAGAGCACTGCGTAAATTGTTGACGCTATATAAATACCTGTAATAATAAATAATAAAATGCCTCTGCAAGAAGCCTCCAATGGAAGTTTTCATTCTCTGATTCCAAGGCTGCAAATTTGTTTAGGGAATTGAGACTGAGGGGGTTATTCACAGAGGAGCTGAAGGATCCAGCCGTAGCTTGGACTGATCCTTTGGCTCTCTTCGGCCGCCAGAGCAGGGCTGCTATACAGGCTATTCATTATAGCAGCAGCTGAAGGCGGCCGAGCGGCTCAGCCAAACCGAAGGCTTATGCTTCGGCTCGACTGAGCCGAAGTGACAGCCGAAGCGGGCAAACAGCCTTCTGCCCAGCAAATGGCAGCTGGCTCCGCCCAGTTGTACTGAAGGATCAGCAACCCCAAATGACCTGGGGGCGCTGAACTGTCATTCAACAATAACAACTGGGTGGCACGGCCAGCTCCGCCCAGTTGTTATTCATTGGCCGGGACCTGCTAGAAGACTCTATCAGGTGCCAGCCAATAGGAAACAGTTGGGCGGAAGTAGCTATCACTGCTAGCTCCACCCAATTGTTTTTTTTCCTTTTTTTAAAAAATCTTTATTTTTTGATTTTAGTATTTATTTACATATTCAAAATATTTTTTTAACCTTTCAACACTTTCTATTCTGCTCAGTGCCACGGAGGTACCGAGCAGAATAGGGCTGAACAGCAGCGAGCAAGATGCCGGAGCTTTGGCTCAGCAGATCCAGATGTTGACCGAAGTGCAGCCAAAAGCAGCCGATGTACGTCTGAAATCAGCCGTACTGAGCCGTATAGTGAATCGCTGAACGTTGTTCAGCTCACTTCACTTCGGCTGGGTTATTCACTCGCCTACATTCAGCAGCTTGGTGAATAACCCCCTAAACCTGACATTCCTGGAACTGGAAAGCAGTCCAGCGTTTAGATCATATGGTGTCCACCTGAGGTTTCTCACACAGGTTTTTTGGTTTGGTAAAAAATATCCAGCAAATTCCCTGAAGTGGCAGCTTGCAAACATCTCATTTTGACTGTTGCCAGTTTGTCCGGGATTGTTGCCTTATGTATAGACTCCAACTCACACAGTAATCCATTTGGCATCACAGACAATCCCCGGAGAGCAACAGCTTGCTATTTTTCAATTACATTGTATTAACATCAGTGGTATGTTTATTCTTCACATAAGTAGATTGTAAATGTAGCTGTGGTATTGAAAATATTATTTCAAATAATGTAGCCAAACATGATACAATGAAAAGGTGTTACTGGTTTTATTTTGCTACATATTGAGATAAAGTAGCTGATATACACATTGGTTAGGCAAGAAGGAAGAGGTCCTTACTACAAATGATTCACTAATGAAATGGCCATCGACATCAGTGACCAGATGAAAGTGTTTGCATGATCCAACTGATGTCTTTTGGACTTGTCATATGAGCATTACTATTAAAGCAATGGAGAAGGAAGTGGAAGGTGCCTTCAAATAAGACTTTTGGTCATATCACATGAGTATTCCTGTTTAAGCAATTGAGAAGAGAGTGGAAGACAAGATTTCTGGACTTGTCACATGAGCATTCCTTTTTAAGCAATAGAGAAGGGAGTAGAAGGTACCTGCAAGTAAAAATTTTGGTCGTATCACACGAGTATTCCTGTTTAAGCAACGGAGAAGAGAGTGGAAGGTACCTGCAGACAACCATAGCACCTAAAGTAGCAATCAAGGTACCTGCAATTAGGAATTTTGATCCTATCACACAAGTATTCCTATATTTAAGCAATGAAGAAGAGAGTGTAAGGTATCTACAGACAAGATTTCTGGACTTGTCACATGCATATTCCTGTTTAAGCAATGGAGAAGAGAGTGGAAGGTACCTGCAGACAACCATAGCACCTAAAGTAGCAATCAAGCAAGGCTTTCTTACCTGTTCAATTGTAAGGCCCCCCATGAATAATTGTTGAGTGCTTTCAGCGCCTAATACAATGGCATTAGATCTTTGGCTCAGGTGGGGTGTAGGGCACGTTGACATTTAGTGTTGTGTTGTGCTGCATTGCATTCACGTGCAGTGCGTGGTTATGTGTATTGCGTTAAGGCAGCCCATTCATTTGCACCACAATGCAGCCAAAAACTAATATGAACCGTTTTTTTCTGTTGCAGTATTTTAGTGCACTGCAGTGTAGGTGCAATGCCTGCTAGGGTTCCATTCAAAGTGAATGGCTCTACAACATGGTACCTGTGTTGCTGTGCGTTGTGGCATGGGTTTTACTGCACATTACCACAGTGCATATAGGTCTGAATGGGCCCTAAGCCTTTACTTAATGCATATGGGCACACATTACACAGGCACGATCCACTGTTGTCACTATCAGGAAATTTGTTCTAAGAAATGCAATGTAGCCATTGGTGGAATGCATGAATATAGAGAGGAAATGCCTGCATAGAGGCTGAGATGCAACAAAGGGTACTTATATGTGAAAAAAGCATTATATTAAAAAGGCAATTGTTTATGATACGCAGTAATTTAGCAGACCTGTCATTCATCTAGGGTTTACATCTACTTTAACTGCATTGAATAACTGTGACTGGTAAGTGATGAAAGTGTTACTGAGATATGGGGGTTCTGCATACTAATGAATACTGATCACGGCAGCTAAAAGGGGTAAATCAGATCAGGGGTAAATCAGACCTGCGGCAGCTAAAAGGGGTAAAGTGTAGATGATGCAGTCTATCACTAGTATTACCACAGCAGTGTTTGTTTTTCTCAATCTGTAATATAATGTTTCACTTGTTGATCCTGCCAGTATCTTTTACTTTTTTGATCTTCCATGAACATTGACAATCCTATTTGTTCTGCAGTGAACTTGCACAGCATCATTGTCACATGATGGGCAGGGCAGTCTTATGCTGGCCATACACCAGTCTTTGATTGAGGGAATCCCTCCTCCAGGCTTTTGAGTTCTGTCAGCAGCATGTGTGCCATTGTCAGAATACCCCAATGGTGACTACAGCTGATTGGATGTGGTCAGAACTTTTGGATCGGCTAATTCGAAAAAAAGTCAAGTAAAAAAAATCAACTTTTGTCAAATGGGGGTCCCAAGGGGGCCATTCACTAGTCAAAATTCAGCTAAGTCAGCAGGACTTTAACAAGATTCAGATAGACATGACGTTTTAAGCAGGCTTTCAGTAAGCTTTAGTTACAGCAACAGGTGTATATTTTGGAGGTTTAAACCATATTAATTAAATCTCACTGTTGCAAGCATCCCTAACCCCTGTCACAGCTACTTTTACATATAGTCACAAAGTTAGTCAGGTTGAAAAAAGACACAAGTCCATCAAGTTTAACCTGAAGAGATAAGAGTAGGGAAAAAAAGAATGTTTCTTTGGAGGTAGATATGGAGAAAAATATAAATTAACTAAAAAATACAAAAATGAATTCATATGATGAATACAGTCATTACAAGTAGCCCAAACATGCAGTTACCAGAATACATGCGTCGCTATAGTACTCCTTTATCATGTTGCTAGGGTTGATTAGTGGATACTGGGGTTGCTCAGTGGATACTGGGGTTGCTCAGTGGATACTGGGGTTGCTCAGTGGATACTGGGGTTGATCAATGGATACAAGGGGTGATCAGTGGATACTGGGGTTGATCAGTGGAAACGAGGGTTTATCAGTGGATACAAGGGATGATCAGGGGTTACTGGGGTTGATCAGTGGAAACGAGGGTTTATCAATGGATACAAGGGGTGATCAGTGGTTACTGGGGTTGATCAGTGGAAACGAGGGTTTATCAGTGGATACAAGGGGTGATCAGTGGTTACTGGGGTTGATCGGTGAATACAAGGGTTGGTCAGTGGAATAAGATGTGTAGGAAAAAAACAGGCAGTCATGGCAGGGTAACTTTGTGTGAGCTGATGAGGATACAATGCACCTGAGCAAAAAGCACAGCAGAAGTGTACAAAAGCCAATAGCTGGCAAGGAGGAGCAAGAAGCAGGCATGTGTACAAGGGTGTCTGCATGCCTCCTTTGATATAGCACATTTCCCTGACAGCTACCTCGCTGCAGCTCTAAGGGTTAAGCTCAACAGCTGTAAACTGCAGCTCTTAGTTGTCTCTGTCCACCAATACAGAAGCTGAAATGTGAATTTGGGCCCCTCCCTCCCCCTCAGCCCCCTTCTAAAATGAAAATGGTCGGGGAGGGGGGTGACTGGGGAGAAGGGGGATTGTTGAAAGTATACTGAAGAAACCCAAGTCCATGTAGCACGATCCTCACATTGAGCAAAGAGCTTCCGATTTTCTGCTCTCAGATTGGATTAAGAGATCTTGGCTGGAGCCAGGTTCCCCCAGTGAGAGGGGAGAGAGAGCGAGAGAGAGCTGGAGGAAGGATTTAGTGCCTGAGGATTTGTTGAGTTTCATTGGGTCTGACCGGTGCTCAGTGAACACCACGGGCTAAGATGTGCTGGAGGATGAGGATGAGAGCCTATTGTGGACAGGTGTACCTGGCTATCCTAACTTGCTGCTTGGTGCCTGCTTCCAGCCAGATCAGATACACCGTGCCGGAGGAACTGGAGCACGGGGCTTTTGTAGGGAACATCGCGGAGGACCTGGGCTTGGACATCTCCAAGCTGTCATCTCGGCGCTTCAGGATCGTGTCTGGAAGCAACAAGCAGCACCTGGAGGTGAACCTGGAGAACGGGATCTTGTTCGTCAATGAGAAAATAGACCGGGAAGAAGTTTGTGAGTTCCAGCCTGTATGTTCCTTGCACTTGCAGGTGGTGATGGAGAACCCTCTGGAGCTCTACAGGGTCGAGGTGGAGATTTTGGATATCAATGACAACGCGCCCAGCTTTCCTTGGCATGACTATGTGCTGGAAGTGACTGAGTCGGCGGCGCCTGGTGCCCGCTTTCCTCTAGAGAGCGCCCAGGATCCCGATGTTGGTACCAACTCCTTGCGCACCTACAAGCTCAGCCCCAACGGCTTCTTCTCCTTGGAGGTTCAGAGCCGGAGCGATGGCAGCAAATTCGCCGAGCTGGTTTTGGAAAGACCTTTAGACAGGGAGCAGCAGAAGACTCATCGGGTGTTGTTGACTGCTTTGGATGGGGGGGTTCCTGAGAGATCTGGCACCGCCATGGTCATTATCAGCGTGCTGGATGCCAATGACAACGTGCCCACCTTCGACCAGACCTTTTACAGGGTGAGCTTACAAGAGAACGTACCTAGGGGTACCTTAGTCATCAAGCTCAATGCTACCGATCTGGATGAAGGCACCAACGGGGAGATAGAATACTCCTTTAGTGGCCATGCTCCTCAAAAGGTGAGGGACCTATTCATGGTGGAACCCCGCTCCGGAAATGTGAGGGTTAAAGGGGTTCTGGACTACGAAAAGTCCAATCTCTACGAACTGTACATTCAAGCCAAAGACAGGGGACCGTCAGCCGTGGCCGTTCACTGCCGGGTGCTGGTGAACCTGCTGGACATGAACGACAATGCCCCAGAGGTGATCCTCACCTCGGTGTCCACGCCGGTCATGGAAGACGCACCGCCAGGAACCGTGATCGCTGTCATCAGCGTTATGGATCGCGACTCGGGCGACAACGGGGATGTCAACTGCGACATCCCCAAAAACGTCCCCTTCCAACTGCACTCTTCCTATAAGAACTATTACACTCTGGTGACCACCGAGATCCTGGACAGGGAGGCTGTGTCCGAGTACAACATCACCATCAGCGCCAGGGACTTCGGGTCACCACCTTTGATGACCAAAAAGATCATCAACGTCCAGGTGACGGACATGAATGACAACGTCCCTACTTTCCTGCAGCCCTCCTATACCGTGTATGTGATGGAGAATAACCCCCCGGGGGCTTCCATCTGTTCTGTGACTGCTGTGGACCCTGATTCCAATCAGAACTCTTACCTGTCCTATTCCATCATGGAGGGTCAAATTCAGGGGATGCCGGTGTCTACCTATGTCTCCATTAACTCGGACAGTGGTAATATCTATGCCCTGCGATCCTTTGACTATGAGCAGATCCGGAACTTTCAGATAAGGGTGCAGGCACAGGATGCTGGCTTCCCCCCTCTTAGCAGCAATGTCACTGTCAATGTCTTCATATTGGACCAAAATGACAATGTCCCCGTGATTGTGTCCCCTTTACCAAAGAATGGCTCTGTGGCCACCGATGTGATCCCCAGATCTGCCGATCCAGGCTACCTGGTGGGAAAGGTTTCAGCCATGGATGCTGATTCTGGACAAAACTCACGTCTTTCCTATCAGATTCTGCAGGCTACAGACTCTACATTATTCAGCATTGCCTTATACACGGGGGAGCTGAGGACTATCCGTTCTCTGGTGGACAAGGATGCTACCAAGCACCGACTTCTGATCCAAGTCAGGGACAATGGCCAGCCTCCTTTATCCACCTCTGTTTCCATTGTCCTGACTGTGGTGGACAGCATCCCCGAGACCCCCTCAGAACTCAACGATCTCCCTGTAAATTCAGACCCCTCTTCCACCTCCTCCCTCACCCTCTACTTAATAGTGTCCCTGGGCTCGGTGTCATTTACCTTCCTGGTGGCCATAATTGTCCTCACAGTCATTAAATGTCACAAAAACAGACTGTCCCTGCAGGATTACAAGTGTTCCCTGCCTACCTGTTGCTGCCTAAGGTCTGGAGCGTCGGGAGACGTCTTCAAGAACTCCAACATCAACCTGCAGATCTCCTCTGGCAATAAAGTCCAAACGAACTGCATGGAGTCTTCAGGGAGTGGCCCCCAAAACTACTGTTACAAAGTCTGCCTGACGCCAGAGTCGGCCAAAAGCGATTTTATGTTTCTAAAGCCATATAACTCTACCACCCAGAACAACGAGAAGATCCCAGAAAAGACATCCTCGGGGAAAGGAGGGCAGAACCCCCCTGCTGTAAACAATACAGTCAACGAGGTAAATGATGGGTTCAGGTGAAAAAAGGGTCAGTGTGGAGGCGCTGATTTGCGTTCAGTGCGCTAGAAACACAAAGCCCACAGCTCACCCCTGTCATGCATCCTTGTAATCCACATTCCATGCATGGATGACCCTCTTCTGGAGTGCTAGTATTGAAAACTGCAGAACCAGCACACAATGCTCTTCCAAAGAAAATCAAACTTTATTCCACACACATCTATAAAAAAAATGCTGACGCGTTTCTGCCTTACGTGGCCTTAGTCATAGCTATAGCTAAGCCCACGTAAGGCAGAAACGCGTCAGTAGTTGTTTTTTTTAATCGATGCATGTGGAATAAAGTTTGATTTTCCTTGGAAGAGCATGGTATGCTGGTCATGCAGTTTTTGAGCCTTGGATGATGCTCCATGTGTTTGCATTGGGTTAGTACAGGTCTGATTTTCCCAGCTTATCTAGAGGTGGAGGATGAGCCTTATGGGTGGATAAATGACCCCCTCATTAATAACACAAACAGCATCATTTTGGCTACTTTCCCATTCAATGCAACACTTATAACAAATAATGATTTAATTAAGCAGCCCCAGTCAATGCAGGCTGAAACAGTTTTTTTTTAATATCATCAGCAGGCAAAATGAATCTCAGGAGAAGAGGGGTACGTGCATTGAGCATCCTGCTCATGTATTCCTCCTAGGCATCCAAGGGCATTTAGCTTTATGGAATATCTTGTCTGTGTCCCCGGCTTCAATCCTGTGTATGTAATTTATGTCTTACAATTATTCTGTTCTAACTCCAAGGGCGTCCTTCAGGATGGACCGAATGGATCTTTTCCGATGGCTGTGTTGTCATTGCCTTTACGTGTGACACATGAAATCAGTGTCTGAGAGCTGTGAATCACTGATCAGTGTGCCCATAAATCCTGCTCTCCCTCCTGCTAGCTCCAACAACACTGTATTATCTGCTTTAGCTGGAATTTCAGCACGCCGGGGGGAGAGACAAGAGCCCCATTACTATGCACAGCGCCAAAGCCAGGCCAGATATGTCTTTCTTATACAGACGCTCTCTACATTAACAAAGCACCAGTGTGTGGCTGCTGGGGTGAATCAATGCATTGCAATATGGATTAGGGAACTGAAAGCTCTGCTGGGCTATTGTGCTCCAAGGTTACAGTGGCACACTCAGGGCTGTCATTGAGCTCAGTGTCTGGGCACAAGTGACATATATATACACCTGGTATATCAACTGGGTGCTACTGTGGATAATATCAGTGCTATACATGATCTATTTATCATCTTTCTATCTATAGCTCCAACTTACACTGTAGCATTGTGTAAAGTCAAGATGCATAGGGGCTACCGTATAATGTAGGTACAGGTGGCATAAATACACCTGTTAGTTATGTCATCTACAGTGTATGCTAGGGTATATATGTAATATCCATGTTACGTATTATCTAGCAATCATCTATCCATATCAACATCTATAGTTCCAACATACACTGTATCATCCATCTATCTATCTATCTATCTATCTATCTATCTATCTATCTATCTATCTATCTATTCATCTATCTTGATCTCCTTCTATAGCTCCAACATAGATTATAGCATTGAGAAAAGTCAAGATGCACAGGAGCTATAATGTATAATGTAGGTACAGGTGGCATAAGTATACCTGTTTGGTATGTCATCTATATGCTAGGCTATATATGTAATATGCATGCTGTGCATTATCTAACATCTATTAACCATCTATCTATGTCTATAGTTCCAACATTCACTGTAGTATCTATCTATCTATCTATCTATCTATCTATCTATCTATCTATCTATCTTTCATCAATACACATTACCATCAATAGCTCCAACATACACTGTAGCATTGTGCAAAATCAAGATGTATGGGAGCTATAAGGTAGGTATGGGTGCCACAAGTACACCTGTTAGGTATGTCATCTATATGCTTAATATCCATGCTATGCATTATTTATCATCTATCAATCATCCATCGATATCTTCATCTATAGCTCCGACATACACAGTAGTCTCTCTCTCTCTCTTTTCTCTCCTCTCTCCTCTCTCTCTCTCTCTCTCTCTCTCTCTCTCTCTCTCTCTCTCTCTCTCTCTCTCTCATCTATCCATATCTCTCTCTCATCTATCTATATCTCTATCTATATCTCCAACATACACTGTAACCTGGTGCAAAGTCATGCACAGGTGCTATAACATAGGTGCAGGTGGCACACAAAAAGTACATATACCTGGCAGGTGTGTCATCTGTATATTAAGGTATATATCTAATATATCTATCTATCTATCTATCTATCTATCTATCTATCTATCTATCTATCTACCTATCCATATTAATATCAATAGTTCCAACATACACTAGCGTTGTGCAAAGTGAGGATGCATATGAGATATAACATAGGCACAGGTATATGTCTAATATCCTTGCTAGCATTATCTATCTATCTATCTATCTATCTATCTATCTATCTATCTATCTATCTATCCATCTATCTATCTATCTATCTATCTTTTTGATATTTTTAAGGTCATATCTACATTTTTAGCACCGGCATACACTGTTGCATTGTACAAAGTGAGGGTGTGTAGGAGCTATAACATAGGCACATTAGCAGACTATAAATAAAATATGAGCAGAAATTGTTCATGCTTCGTTATAGGTCATATCACATATGCACACACACGTCCAAGTATACCTCTCTTCTGGTTTCTAGGTGTCACATTCAGCATAGAGAGTAGACTAGACTGTCTCTTCCTATCTGTCACATACAAGTCCAGTGACACTCAACCTGTGCCTCAGGAGAGAATCCCTCAACTCCCTGGGGGTCCTATTAGCACTAGAATAGATCTTTTAAACTATGCCGGTGACAGTTGTGACAACAATGAAACCAGCTGGACGTAACATTTAATGATATCTGGGTGGAAGGCATAGGGCTAAATGCAGTCCTCATCACACAGTGCCAGGGCTTGGGTATCACTGCTGTGCCAGCTGCTATAGCTTTAGAGAGGAGACCTTGATTTCCCGCTTATTATCTTATTTTCTACGATTCGCGTGGCGTCTGTTAATGCTGCATATCAAACACAAAGACAAGCATCAAATAAAAGAGGGGGTGCTTCCTTCAGATGGCCACCAGATGGCACAATACCCTAAGGAAACACCCTAGCAGCAATTATTTTTAGTGTTTAGTTCTTAACAAAAGCACCAACATGGTTTATTAATCACATTTTTACTCACATCAGTTTCATTACAGAAAGATCCATATAAAGTTAATGATGATATACCCCAATATGAAATTAGATTTCTTGTAGCATGCATGTAGGTGGGATGGGACCACCTAAACCTGACATTTAAGTTGTGGGTAGATATTAAAGAGTTAAAATATCTAATTGTTTCTCATGTCTCTAGGGTACTCTGGTACAGGACCCCCCCAATGCTGCACATCTGCTGCAATTGTGATAAAAGAGTTCTACTCTGCCTTTTGGATTTTTAATTCATAGTGTGGGGAATTTAATATGTTAGAATGGAAACACGCCTATTGGAGCAGGACAGGTGAGAGTGTTAGAGGAAGAGAGCGAAAAGCTATGACACTGAAATATTGTTTTGCAACCCCCAAGTTATATAATAAAAAGATAAGCAACTTAGCCAACTAGATTTTATCTCTAAATGAAATACCATTTTTGCGTGGCCTGCTCATTTAAATATTTGCTTTGGGATCATGCAAGATTAGGTAGATTACATTCATATTATTCTGCTTGGGAACACTTTCAGGCATAGTCAAAACAAAATCAATGTGCAGCTAATCAGACTTCAGTTTATTGTGGTCAGAATAGTACAACATTGGTTCTCGTTGGTTTCTATAGAATGTTGGCCTTTGTCCTGACTCCTAAGCAATACAGTGTCTGTGGATGCATGTGTGTCTGCTCAGCAGTAATAGGTTGTCACCACAGGCTAAGGTTTGAACTTTGGTAAGAGAAGGATAAAAGACTTTGGTTATGTCTCCTGGCTGGTAATGAGCTCCTGGGTACTTTCTTTATTTTCTAATGATGTACAGTATTAGTATTTTTCAACCTTACACATGATCAATTTTTTCCAGCAAGACTCTTAATAGCAACTTTTCTTTTGATCAACTTTTAGAAAGTCCTTTCAGTCAGGGATAGGTTTTACTTATGACATTAAAATGATACCATATTACCCACATACAGTCGGTCAGTCTCTCTCTCTCTCTCTCTTTCTCTCTCTCCCCTCTCTCTCTCTCTCTCTCTCTCTTTCTCTCTCTCTCCCCTCAGTAAATGTAAGCATCCTATATACAGTGTTGCCTCGATCAACTTTAAAGAAATCCTTTTAGCTGTTGATAAGTTTTAATTATGTCATACAGTGTATACATTCTTTCTCCTTTTTTTTCTACTCTCTTTCTTATGTGTGTGTGCGTGCATGCGTGTGTGTGTGTGATATCAACCACTGCATGGTAAAGGTAAACATTTTATACTTCTATATAAAGTCTTGCCTTCATCATAACTTTCTATTGATTAACTTTCATAGTCATAGTTCTTTTAGTTGTGGATACATTTTATTTATGACATCTAATTATATTATATTACCCCACATGCACTTTCTCTCTCTTGCTCTCTCCACACATATATGATATCTTACATATCAACCACTGCCCAGTAAATGTAAACATTCAATCTGAAGTGTTGCCTCCTGTATTATATAACACCTGCTAGTATGTGTGCTGGGCTCCAGTTTCAGCACCACGGACAGCTACCATATCAATTGTACGTGTTTCCCCTTAACAATCCAGCAGCTTGCATCACCTCCTCTGACACATTGTTCTAATTGCCCAGAGTCTCTTGCTACAATAAAAGTGTATCTTCCATAGCCATAGGATTCTGCTTTCCACCACAGATTCTTGTCTTGCTACTTTATGCAATTCAAATTGTGTTGTATCTCATAGCACACTATCAAATAGCCTTCAA